AACCATATCAGAACACGCCTCGCTGGGATTCAGACATAATTGTAAAATGACCCTGACCTGGTCTTCAATTATTGCACCACAGCCTTGCTGTGGAGCACGCCTTTCCCTCTAGCCTCATCTGGTTTCTCAGGCGTCCAGCCCTGCACACACCTGTCAGTTGTATATTTAACCTTTTGGCTACATGGGAACACAGAAGTGATTCCTACAACTTATAGCAGGAAATGGTAACCCCTTTACTTCTTGCTGTCAGCTGGGGCCCAGCACTGACTCTTGGTACCCACCTACAGCTCCCCTACACTGCCGCCTTTCCTCAGGTGAGGGCAGCCCTCGTGGGGCACACACTGTCAACATTTGCAGTATTGTTCTCATTTACCATATACTACTGGCCAATGTTTACAGGAAGTTCTGTGTTTGCATTTCCAGTACTCTCTTTGAGTGGCACCCTTTCTGAAGGTAGGGAGTTGTGTAGAGCAGTAAGAAGGCTCTCTTTCTTCTGGAAGTCTTCAGGGGCACACTTAAAATATCAAACAACATTCAGAAACATCTGCTCCTTGTTTCTCTTGTTTACTTCCTACACATTCCTATGTCACGTTGCTTGAAATTGTGTTCAGCAATGCATTTCTTTCTGTCTTGTATTGTGGTTGTTTCTGGGTCCGTCTCCCTCACTAAACTGTGATTTCCTTCAGGGTAGTGTTGTGTCTATTTGCATCTGTACCTTTAGCATGAAGCTAGGTGTCTGAAAAATGGTGCTTAACAAGTGTGTGTAGAATGGGAAAGGACTTGACAATGTCTCGGATGCTGAGTGTCAGGTCCCTCCTGTCAGAGCATTTTGATTTCCTTAATGTCCAAAGCTCAGTCTTCGGAACAGAAACAACTTATTTTGTATCTGTGCAACCAGGTAGTGCAGTTTGGTATGATAATCCAGTAAATGAACCAGAAATATTTCCTAAGGCATGTGAATGCATCTGTAGTGGCAATTCACAGAACAAATCCATTAGTTGAAATTATCCTTCATGGTACCAAACAAAAGCCAGCTTGTCCCCAGTAAATATGCTTCACTAGTTGTAGACTAATAATCCTGAATGCAGCTAATCCACAGCTTCTCCTTCTGCTGTCTGGGGCAATGTTCTTGCATGAGGAGGACTCGTCAGTTCCCCTCCCCCATGTCTCTGCTGTCCTGGGTATTTTCCTAGTCCTGCCCTTTGCCTCTGTCAGAGGGTGCTGCATGCTTCTCTCTCCCATCCTCTTTTTTCCTCCCTGACAGTTCTTAGCATCATAATGCAGTGCTTTGCTCCTTTACATCTTCAATTATTAAAAACAATCCTATTAGGTTTTTAAACAAGGGAAAGCATAAAAAAACAGAAATGGTGTCCCACACAGATAAACCTACGTTGATGGTATGAGGAAGTACTGTATTCGAGGTTTCAAGAGATAAAATGACATATGTCCTTTAAACTTCCTACCCTGCCCATATACCTTCTATGTTTCTCTCTCTAGTGGTAATTCCAGTTAATGTTAGGTGTGTTTTCACATAAAAATGTTTTAAATATTATGCACACCAACATTAAACTTGAAATGGATTTATATGTATCCTATCTGTTTTACATCAAGCAATCCCAAGAAAGCTACACTGAATCTATCTGTTATCATTTAATATATTGTAAGAAATGTCTCTATTGAGGCCTCCTCTCTCCCCAAATATCTTATTTTTATAACTTTTATAGTATCCCAGTGTATGGATGGCCTAAATTATTGTTCCAGTTCCTTATTATTGGGCATTATGACTTGTTCTGGAATTTTTACTATTTCAGTAGTACAACTGTGATGGTCTTTATACAGACATCTTTGAATGTTTCTTCACAGGATGAGTACATTTTACATGTTGAATTTATTGCTATATTGTCCTCCAAAAACTAAATTAGTTTTTATTACCTTTGATACTCTCCCAAAGTTCTTGCATGTACCTGATTATCAGAGAGGAAGGGATAGGGAGAAAGAGAGAAACATCAGTGGTAAGAGAAAATCACTGAGCCCTAGCTGATTTGGCTCAATGGATAGAGCATTGGCCTACAGATTGAAAGTCCCCAGGTTTAATTCTGGTCAAGGGCATATGCCCAGGTTGTGAGCTCTATTCCCAATAGTGCAAGAGGCAGCCAATCAAGAATTCTCTCTCATCATTGACATTTCTCTCTCTCTCTCTCTCTCTCTCTCTCTCTCTCTCTCTCTCTCTCCCTCCCTCCCTCCCTCCCTCCCTCCCTCCCTTTATAAATGTATTTTTTTAAAGAAAAAATGTATTTTCAATAAAAATGCATTTTAAAAAATCAATAAAAATGTATTTTAAAAAAATAAAAAAGAGAGAGAATCATTGATTAGCTGCCTCCTATGTCTCCTACTGGGGATTGAGCCAGCACTAACCTCTTGGTTCATAGGTTGATGATCAATCACTGACACATACTGGCCAAGCTGAACTGCTTCTTTAAAATGTCTTTAAATAGATTTTAGAGGGGAAAGGAGAGAAAGAGAGATGGGTTGGCTCTGGTACTCACCTCCAACCAAGGGACAACCTGAAACCTAGGTATGTGCCCTGACCAGTAATTGAACATGTGACCTTCTGGTGGCTGGGATCATGCTCCAACTAATTGAGCCACACCATCCACAACTATGAACTGCTTCTTCCTATCATTTGTCCCTTATTTATATAGGGTCTTTAGCCACCTCCTTAGACCTTTCTTATGCCTCTATTTAAAATAGTAACAGAGGCACTGAGCCTCATGTGGCTGGGTTGGTTGGAGCATCTTTCCAGTACAGGGAAAAAGGTTGTGGGCCTAATTCCCAGTCAGGGCACATACCTAGGTTGCTAGTTCAATCTCCGGTTGGGTATGTGCAACCCATAGATGTTTTTCTCTCACATCAATCTTTCCCTCTCTCACCCCCTACCTCAAGTCAATAAACATCCTCTGGTGAAGATAAGAAAGGCATAAGCCAATAAGAACAAACAGTCTAGGAGACTGCCATAAAGAAAAGATATCAGCAATTTTGGAAGCTGAAAAGGAGAGAAGGAAAAGTCAGAACTCATTTGCAAGAAGTAATCCCAGGACAAGTCAGGAAATATAGGCACCTGGTACCTCTGAAGGCTGCATTGGAAAGAGGAGGGTGAATTGGAAGTCTAAAAGAGGAGCTCCTCCCTACTACACTGAATTTTTACTATTTAACTGAAAGTTAAAATAAAAAGAGGTAGTTATAAGGATGAGGACTGAATATGGTGGTGTACTGGGAGGGAAAGTTGGGGTTAGAATGGAGATGGTAATAGAGCCATAAATATTCCACCATAGTAGGAAGTCAAAAAATAATACAACTGAAAAATAAGGAATAGAAGACTATGCATGTGGTTAAGGAGGTAATTGAACATGAAACCATCCACAGTACTGAAGTGATTGCTGGGGCCATGAGGAGGACTGGTGTGTGTTTTATTTTAGTGTAAGCTTGGTAGGACTAATAAGTAGTACTGAAACCTGGCAGACTTTTAAAACCATGTGCATATATTATAGGGACAGAAATTAGTGTGGAAGAGTCTTTAAATACTGTGAAAAAGTGAGTCTTCCTAGGACAAGAGCTGGTATTTGGTATTTAGTGAATGTGTGTGGAATGGTTGAGTGATATCATTCAATTATTTAGAAAACTCTAATTTTCCCTTGTTGGTAGTGATATATTGGAATTAGAATTAAATAATCTATTTAAGGGTGGATGAGTAATGTATTTGTAATATCACTATATAAGAAAACAGTTTGGCTCAGTGGATAGTGCTTCGGCCTATGGACTGAAGGGTCCAGGGTTCGATTCCAGTTAAAGGTATGTACCTTGGTTGCAGGCACATCCCCAGTAGGGGGTGTGCAAGAGGCAGCTGATTGATGATTCTCCCTCATCAATGTTTCTAACTCTCTATCCCTCTCCCTTCCTCTCTGTAAAAAATCAATAATATATATATATATATATTTTTTTTTTTTTTTAAGAAAACAATTTATTTTTTTATTTTTTATTTGGGAACTATAGAACATTGGAAGATCTTTGAATAAAGTTTTAAAAAATGTCAATTTAGACTTTGAATTTATTTTATATTTTTCACCAAGAAATTTTGGAGGTTAAAAAATGTGTTAGTGTATGTTTATCAACATGTGGCAGTATTTTCTGTACCAGACAGTCTTCCTGGCTCAGGCACTAACTTAGGACAGGAGCTTGGTAACCCTCCTCTTCATTTTTTTTTTTATTTGAAATGAGGTTAAAACTCAGTCTACCTCAAAGTAGGTAATTGAGTATTACAGAAACCCTAGTACCCAGTTCTTTGGATTAATACTGTAAACATAATAACTGAGTTTGGAAGTTTTTATCTTTTTTTAAGAGGATTATCAGAATGTCAGAAGCTGGAGATTAAGTTGTAGTAAGGTGATCTTTTCAAAGCACAGTATCTCTTCCAGAAAGTTCAAAGTTCTGCTAATATTAAAAGTAACTTGTCAATGATAGGTTCAGAGACTATTCTCTAAGATGGAAAAAATTTTACTAATGGAATTGCACTATAGAATTGAGTCCAGCATTTATTTGTAAGTTCCTTTGGATTTGCTGGGAAATAAATGCTAGAGAAATGGCCAATAAATAGCATTGTGTGGCATTATTTAAGGAACAAATTTGATTTCTTTTACTTTGTAAGACACAGGTAAGTTTGACTTACATTGTAATTCCCTCTGTGTGTGTTGTAATATCTTGATCTAATATCTTGAACATGCACATTTGGATTTTTAATCTCACTATTTTACACTTGGAGAGCTATTGTTTGATTAAAGCATACCTAGTCATATAAGAAAATACTTTCACATGGAAGTATTTTAAATAAAAGTTTCAAAAATGAAATATTGCATCTGCTAAAGTTAACCATGTAATTGATTTGGCTGTCTTCTGTGTAACCAAGTGAATTGAAAACCATATTTTAAAACTTTTCTTGTTCCTAGAGTGAATTTCTGGAATTTAAGCGACAACAACAGGAGGAAGAAAGAATCAGAAACCAGCAGGATGAGCACAGGAGGTATAAATGACTAATAATGAAGCATCCTTGGTTAAAAACATTACTTATAAATTGCTTGCAATGTTTTAGGCAAGCACTGTAGTAATATTGAATGCAGTTTTGAAATGCACGTTAACTTTTATGTGAGGATGACAACTGCTGTACATTTGTGCATGTACACATACCATACCCATTTTTTTCTGGATAGGTGACATACATTTACACCAGAAAGCTGAATTGTGCTCTCAAGCTGTATGTTTATTCATATTATATTTCATTTGCTCGCCATGCAAGAAAGCATCTTTATCCTTTGAAATGATGCATGGCCATTTGTAATATTGATGTTGAAATACCCATCTTGAATACAAAAGCTGGGACAAAAACTGCCATAAAGTTGTTTTATATTGACTAATATATTAGGAAAAAACTTAAAATAGGATCCTTAAGGACTTTTTGATAGTGTAGGTATTATTTTTTCAGTACCCAGTAAAATATGTTGGGGTTGGAATAGTGTTAATAATCACCATATCTGTATTATTATATTAGGATTTCCCTGAGGGGCACTTGGGTTATTGGAGTTTATTGAGCTTATGTGTCTTAGGAGAATATCTTAATGCAAAGGCTCTCATGATTTAAAAGAGCAAATTTTAAAAATATATATATTTTATTGATTTTGTACAGAGAGGAAAGGAGAGAGATAGAGCGTTAGAAACATCCATGAGAAAGAGTCATCGATCAGCTGCCTCTTGCACACTCCCTACTGGGGATATGCCCGCAACCAAGGCACATGCCCCTGACCAGAATCGAACCCGGGACTCTTCAGTCCCCAAGCCGACGCTCTATCCATTGAGCCAAACCGGTCTCGGCAAAAAGGAGCAAATTTTTATTTTGAAACTTAGTGGTTTCTTTTACATGTTTAAATTCCCCCTACCACTAAGGCGTATTTTTAACTGTGGCAGTTCCACTTTGTAAATGAGGCTTAAAAGGTATTAATAGAAGCTCCCAATATGGTAGCCACTAACTGTGTATGGTGTTCCCATCCTTTTGACTGGATTATGCTGCCTCCATTGTACAGTCAATGTAATTTTAAAATGTCAAATGTGAATCCATGTGTTCTCCTCTGCTTATAATAAGACATCAAAACTCTAATACACTGGTTAGACTATTTTGTTGGGTAAGTGGACACCATTACTGCTCCTTATTTTTATAAAATAGGCCACAAATTAGTTTAGTCTTTTATAGATTTATCTCATTTTCTCTTTAAATGTCTTTCTATTTAAAAGCCTGATATTATATGACACCAGTTGTTAATATAATTAGTTTTGTGGGTTTTTTTATTTTTTTATTTTTTGAAGATTAATTGGTTTTAAACATCTTAAAGATTGCAGTATGTCACATTAATAATTGCTGTTGCTAAGAAATTACTCTTCAATAGGCATCCAATAAAATGCAAGTTATTTGAATAGAGGTGAAAAGGATTATTATTTATTTTTTTTGTTTTGTTATAGGAACCTTGATCTTCATTCTTTAGGTTTAGTTCCATACCGCTGACTACTTAAATATTGGGGAATGTGGGGGAGTATTCATTTTCTACACCTTATTTTCTCTTTCAATTGATTCTAGTTAAGTGTGGATCCAAATTTAATCCATGAAGAAATATCTCTGAATTATAAACTTAATAATCAGTTTTGAAATAACTGATTGAGTCTTTACCCACATTTAAAAAATATTCTGAATCAGTTTTTGAAAATAGTTTATAATTAATTTTGTCTTTTAGAGTTTATAGTGAGCTTTTCCTTGTTATCATATGGAAATACTCATTCGGTAATGTCTTCATGAATAAAATAGCTGTGCTCATTCCTGCTGCGGACAGCAACACAAGTTGCATGATCTGTGTGGAGGGGCAATGTTGGCTTTTCTCCATGGGCATTCCTTCTATCAGAGTAAAACAGACAATGTACTTTCTATTGGTTACAAGTTCACAAAGCCAAATCTCAAGCCTGAATTTTATAATGGAAAGCTTGTGGGATTCCTCACAGGCTTTCAATGAATCCTGTCATGATTGAGCTTAAGTGCACCTACCTGCATCTGATTTGGTGTAACTTTTTGAGGAAGAGAGGGAAGTTTAAACTTCAGAGAGAAAAGATGGAGACCATGGAGGTCAAGGACTTGAAAGGAACTGGACCGCATAAGCTGAAAACTGGAATGAACTGAATTGATTTATTAAAACTTGAACCAACCTTGAATAACATTTTTTTAATCTAAATTAACCCTGAGAAGAAAATCTTGAGCATGAATTTGAGAGCAATAAAATGTATGTTCTTTCTAATATTAGTAAACAAAAATATATACTGGTACTTTTTCCCCCTATTTGAATTCTCAATAGAAATTGAGAAAAATAATATCGTTACCACCCGTGATTTCTGGCTGACCCCTCTGCTCTCCTAGTAACTGGTGCTCAATTGCATCACTTTGCATGGATGACAAGCATCAGTCTGCACAGTGCTTGAGCGAATTGAGAGCAGTGGACAGTGAGCAGTTTTGTAGCCTGCCTTCACCACCATGGGTGATTTCACGATGCAGCTGCAGCCATAGAAGCAGGCATAGATGAGGACCATGCACCTGGATAACTGATTCATTTGCATTTTACATATTAGGGCATATGAAAACTTTGTTCTCAGCACTGGGAATAGACTAAGCAAGGCAGAGGTCCCTGACTGCATGGAAATTATAATCTGGAGGAAAGAAATAGAAGTCAACAATTTAACAGTAAGATTACTTTACACAGTGATACATACCATGAGGACCACACCACAGTGTGATGTTGATAGAGAGATTGGAGGTGATAATTCCTCAAAAGAGAGATGACAGCACAGGACAAGAGCTAGTCATGTGAAAACAAAACATGGATGTCCCATATTCAGGCACAGGAACAAATGCAAGGTACTAAAGGGGAAATGGGCTTGGACTTTTTGAGTACCCAATGACTGGAAGAGAATTATATAAAATAGGGTAGAAGACATAGGCAGGAGCCAGAAGATACACGATTTTGTAAGCCAGTGATTTTATTCTAACACTAATGGAAAGTCATAGAAGGGTTTTAAGCAAAAGGAAGGCATGATCCCTTTTATGATTTAGTAAGCTGGATAGTTATATGGAGAATGGATCACAGAGGGCAGGAGTAGTAGCAGAAGCAAGATGAGAGAGGACAGTTGTTTGGACTAGAATGGTGGTCATGGAAAGAAATGGGTGAACTCAGGATGTGTTTAGTGGGTAGAGCCAACAGTAGTTATAGTAGTTTGGATATGGGGTGGGATGGGGATGTTGGGGGAAAGCCATTGTTGTTACTGGCAAAAAGATTGGGTAAAAACAATCCTAGGCGCCTGAGCAGGCCAGAATACCACTGGTTGTGCTGTTTAAAGGGGAGCAGGGGAAGCTTTCATTTCCTTTTTTTTTTTTTTAAATATATTTTATTGATTTTTTACAGAGAAGAAGAGAAAGGTATAGAGAGTTAGAAACATTGATGAGAGAGAATCATTGATCAGCTGCCTACTGGATATGTGCCCGCAACCAATGTACATGCTCTTGACCAGAATCAAACCTGGGCCCTTTCAGTCTCCAGGCCGACGCTCTATCCACTGAGCCAAACCAGTCATTTCCTTAATATGCGTGTCTCCAGATCAGTGAGAGATCCTGTAAAGGTGATTTACTACTGAACTTGAGCTCTGTAGTGAGCCGGCTTTCCAGAATTTGTCACTTGGGTAGATATTATGGTAAAAGGAAAACACTTTTCTGATAACTAAGACATAAACAATACTTGGTGGGACTTGAATTTGTTGAGAGAAAAAACAACTCAATAATCCAGGGATCCAATTGGGTCAACATGCAGTTGGCATTTTAGCTAGCCCTGAGCAGGCACAGACAAGTAATCCTCCCCAATCCACCCTAAAAGCCCAGCCTCTGACTTTGCCCCCATTAATCACCATCCTCAAAGTTTCTAAACCTCCCACAGTCATAGACTTATAGCCACCCACCATGTCCACATTCTCCTAATCTTCATGACTGAAAAGGAGGTTAATGTGATGGGCCAATCTGCTTTTCCTCCCATAAATGCGTACTGAGTAGCTGCTGTGCACCAGGCATTCTGTTACTAACAAGAAGCTTATAGTCTTAATGACACTATTCCTCAGTAACTTGCTGACATCATAGGATACCTGTCACAATATTTCTCCAGCCATCACCTCCCTGATTCAACTCATCCATACCAAGGCAACTCAGAGCAGGCTGTTGCCTTTAATTTACTTTTTCTTAATTAAAAGATTTGTTAATTAAATTTTTTAGTAGAGCAGGAATATCCAAGTCCATGAAACAAATACTTAGAATGATTATTTATAAAGTGAACAACCAGGTAACCAGCTCCAGAAATAGAATGTAAATATTATCCTACAGTTAATTTATATTCTGACCTTGATGATAATCACTTTCTTGCCTTTTTTCATGATTTTACCTCCTATGTGTTAAATTTAATTTCTGGAATTGGTTGCTGCAAATACGTCTGAACATCAGTGAAAGATGTACCCATTCCCTCTTTTGAAAGTTCAGTCCCCCCTTTCCCATACACTTGTCCCGTTTTTCTTCTGTTTATCACTTGTGAGATTTACGTTTGCAACACTGACAATTGGGTAAAGGCATATGCGAGGGATGTCTGTCTTGCAAACAGTGTCACAGAGCTATTTTTGAATTATCGTCATAGAGTGTTAGTTTTTGTGAATTCTATCGTTTCTGTCTCTGGGGCCAAGAAAGATCTTGATGAACCGGTAAAAGGTGGACCAGTAAAACTGAAGTTAAGAACTGTGTCCCTAACTCACTGCATTTTTTTAAAGAAAAACAAAATAAACAAAGAACTGTGTCCCTATGGCCTGAGCCACCAATGGGTACCAGGTCCAGCAAAGGGCTGTTAACAGCATGGCATGTGGTTAATGTGAAAAGAAGTTTCTGTAGATTTCTTCTAAGCTGAAGGGAGGAAGCAATCCCCATAGGCAGTCATACAGCACAATAAGCTCTCAAAAATCTCTCAACCCTGCAGCAGGCTTTTCACTTACACACATTTTTCATTGTTTTAAAGGGTAAATAATGCTTTTCTGGACCGGCTCCAAGGCAGAAGTCAGCCAGGTGGCCTGGAGCACTTTGGAGGCTATTGGAATATGAATGGTGGTAACAGCTGGGTGAGTTTTTCGTTTTCTCTTTTAAAATATCTTTCAAATTTGAAGGATAAAAACAATGAGAATTTTAAAAATATGCTGTGGCCTTCTCCACAGATATTTTTTGTGCACTGCTTAGCTGTGTGATGGGCAGTCAACCAGGGCGATTGCTGTAAATTCCACAATAGCCTCTGAGAGGGGGAGAAAGTCCCGACTTTCAGCTCTGGCCAATCACAATAAAAAATGACACCTGCCTTGTTCTCACTGTGATTGCCTGGACTTAAGGCTTTTTATCACCCGTGGCCCAGACCCACAACACAAACAAATGAACTTTTTGTCTCAGGAAGATTTTAACTGAAATATGGTTATACAAACAGGAGGAAGCATTCTCTAGTAATATACTTTTTTTTTTCAGTGAAACTAGCATATCAAAGAAATATTTAATTTTTCACTCCAAAATGATGTTTTAAAAAACCCTACAGCAAAAGGCACTTTTTGAAAATGAAATGTCCTTATAGATTTCTGTGACAAAAACCTTGTCACTTGTAATACTTATTTAATGTGTTTTGTGTGCACCATATATTATTGAACCAGCACCAGGACTTCGGAATGCTGGAATGCATATGTTTATGGGGTTTACAATGTGAATAGAACCAAAACTAACTACACTAGGCTTTACAATTATAATTTAATCAAAGCCCAGGTACATATATGTTTATTTATTTATTTTTTTTAAAAAGGAACAGATAGAAATCTTTAAACTGGTAAAATACAGCAAAATAATCAAGTGCTTACTAACTTGGGAACTCTAGAGAAGATCCCTCTTTAATGAATACCTGAGGGACAAAGGATCATTTTTTTAAAAGATAAGCTGTTAGGAATGTTACAACATGTTTTCTTAAAAAGTATCTAGTAGTTAAAATAGATAGATAGATTTCACAAATGTATATATAGTAAAGAGAACTGAAATCAGGCAAATTTGCAGAGCATGCATAGTGGACATGTCTATTTACCACAGTGTATGCTCATGTGTATCACTGTAGCGTTCAGAAAAGAGGCAATATGGGAGAAAAGAATCAAACATCATGGTTGCAATTTACACATTATTGACTTCTACAAATATGTGAGTAGAGTCTTGTGGAAAATGGGGCACTGAGTTTAAGACATTATCCATGTATATGGAATTTACATTATGAAACATGATTGAAACTCAGATTTTGCATAGGACTTAGAAACTTGCTGCACATTTTCTCTTCTACTCAACCATTCCCCAAACTTAGAAAGAACCTAAAAAATACCTGAGATTGGGGGGAAGATGATGGAAAAGAAAATTAAAACTGCATGGGCTGCTGCTAAGAGAATAAGCATTGGGCTTACCAATGACTATTGGTAGGCCTTCTGTAAGTGAGCTATGAACCTTTGCCTAAGTTCCTCACCGATTAAAAAGCTAGGAACACACCCTGGTCAGTATGGCTCGATGGCGGAGTGCCAGCCCACAAGGAAGGGTTTGCATCTATTCTTGCTGTCTCTTAATTTCTCTCCTCCAACTTCTCTTATACCCACTCTAATCAGACTTTACCAGTCCAATAAAAATGCTCTTGTCATGGTCATTAACAATGTCCACCTTGCAAAATTCAATGTTTATTTCTCAAACTTTATTTTTTGACCTGTCAGCATCATTCTTCATGATGAACCACTTCCTCCTCTTTGAAATTTTCTTTACTTGGCTTCTGGGACCCTATACTCTCCTGGGTTTCTGCCTATTTCGTCAGCCAAGTCTTTCATTCTCCTTTGCTGAATTCCCTGCATTTTTTTTGTCCTCTCAACATTGGAGTGCCTCAGGGATCTACTTTGGACCACCTTCTAAACTTTATGTTTATTTATATCTTGGTGGCCTCATTTATTCTCATATAATTACATATACTACATGCTTATTACTCACAAATTTTAATTTCCAGCCTACACCTCTTTCTTTAAACTCTCGTCTTGCATATCCATTTATCTACCCAACATCTCTACTTGCATATCTAATATACATTTTAACCTTAACTTATCTAAAACTTAACATTTAATCCCTTTACCTTAATGTTTTATCTGCAAGTTTTCCTGTTTGCTTCATGGTGCAAATCATCTCTCACATCGCTGTCCCCTGTGATGATATAGCAGGAAATATTCTTGAATCTTCCTTCAAAATATATCCAACCCAACAGCTTCTCACCACTTTCACCACTGTTGTTCTAATTCCAACCTCTATCCTTGCTCATCTAGATTCTTGAAATAGTCTCTCAGTGGTTTCTTTGCTTCCACACTTCCCCACCTAGAATCTGCTCTCTATATGAGAATGATCCCTTTGAAACAGATCAGATCCCATCACTTTTATGCTGAAAGCCTTCCAATGGACCCAAGACTCTCCAAGTCACTTTGAATAAAAGCCAAAGTCCTTATAGGAACCTACCAGGTGCTACATGATCTAGACTCCACTTTACCCTCTGGCACTCTCCTACGCTGCCCTCCCTCATTCTTCCTTGCCATGCTTCCTTCTTGCTGTCCTTTGAAAAGGTGAGGAACTGGCACTCTCACCTTATGGCCTTCACGCTGGCTATTACCTCTCCACTCTTCTCCAAAATATCCATATTAATTGTTCTCCTTCAAGTATTTTCTTGAATTCCACTTCAGTGAGGATTTCTTATTCATTTATTTAGTGCTGCCACCTGTGTCTTCACACCCTTTTCCCCCATAGCATTCTGTAATTTCTAACATAATTTTCCAACATCATTAATTTATATGTTTTGCTGGATATTTACTCTTACTCTCTCCCTGTGGTAATTTATGTTCCATGTACCATCAGAGCAGGGTCCTTTGGTTGTATTCCAAGCATAAAACAGTGACTAGAACTTACCACATGCACAAGGAAACAGGTGGCTGTGATTTAGGGTCAACTAAATAACAAAGATTTCAAACTAAATGATGTGATATACTAAATTATATTTTAAAAATTTGTTTGTTAAACATTTGATGAAATAAATATTGGATTTAAACCAATGAGCCAAAACAAGAGACAATGCCAACCAAGCAGATTTGAAAAAAAAAACAAACTTTTAGGAATAAAAAACATAATCTTTGAAATTAAAGCACTCAGTGAACTTATCATAATAAAGGAATACAAATTAAGAACTAAAGCATAATACTGTTTTTCATCTATTATTTGGCAACCCCCCTCTCCCCAAATGAAAGATTGACAATATATTGTTGTTTCACACATTGTTGGTGCAAATTCAAAATTATGCAAACACTATGTAGGTTAATTTGTTACTGACTTCCCATATAATAGTCACATTACAGCAAAGTTCTACTAAACATTCTAGGAACAGATGATTTCAAATGTCTGAAAAGATTTTTCAGATAAGTGAAAAGGAGGAAATATTTCCTAAAATAATTAAGCAGGTAAGCATAACTTTCAATCAAATTCTGGCAAAGACTATACAGAAAAAAAAATGATAGAATAGTATCACTTATAAAAATGGATTTTAAAAAATCTCAAAAATTTTGATGGATTCAATAGTGAAATTTTTAAAAGGTATAATATGCCCTTATCAATTGAATTTATTAAAAAATACAAACTTAGCTTATCATAAATAAGCAACTAAACAATATAAAAATAAAATAAACAACAAGAATTCACCTCATAAATTAGAAAAAAAAATCATATAATCACCTCAATAGTTATGGAGAAAGCATTTGATAAATTTCAATACTTATTTGTGATAAAAACTTCTAGAAGAAAACTAGGAATTGAAAAAAAAGTTTTAACCCAAAAGTCACCAAAAATCTATCATAAAAATATCAACAATATTTTTATATCATATTACGGATTGGAAAAAGTTTATAAATCACAGATGATACAGAATATTGACACTGATAATATCTCTCTCTGTGTGTGTGTGTACTTAGTTCTATCACATATGTAGGTCCATATATCCACCAGAGTAGGGAAGATTCTAAATAATTCTACCAACACAATAGTTTTTCTCAATATTAGCATTTTATAAGCACACTTATCTCCTTTTTTAGAATGAGTACCCTTACATAACTTCTGGGAATTATAAGACTGTCTTCATTTCTAAAATTTATCATTTCAAATGTATTAATATAAATGGAATCATATAGTATGTAAATTTGAGGATTGGCTTTTTTTCACTTGAAATAATTCCATGGGAATCCACCAAAGTTTTTGCATGTGTCAAGAGTTTATTACTTTTTATTGGTGAGTATTACTTTTTATTGGTTAGTATTCCATAATATGGATATACCACAGTTTGTTTAACCATTCACTCATTTAAGGACATTTGGGTTTTTCAGTTGCTGACTAGTACAAATAAAGGAATAAAGGTTCTATGAGCAATTGTGGAAAATAAAATAAGAAAATAAATAAACCACAGATGATACAATTATCTACTTAGGAAATACAAAAAAAAATGTATATCCAAATTTTTAGAGTAAATAGGAGCTCAGCAATGAGTATGTTTTTAAATAAAAAGTCAACAAATGGTTACTATGCAGAATATGTTAAAAGTATGTTATTTATTTAAAACTTTATAGATAATGACTGAATTTCCCTAATAAATGAGAGGAGGAAATAATGAAACCAATAAAAAGCCAAAAACAAAGAAAAGGGAGAAGGCAGAGAGTATGATGAAAACCAAGGAAAGAAAAAAATGATTTCTTGAAACATAAGATACTTAAGCAGTAGGCCTCCAATAAATGTATGTTGGTAGATCAATTAAATTGATCTTTATTTTGAAATCTTTTAAAATTTAAATCACACTCTTCTCACATTACTCAATATATGTTTACTATTTGATAATTTAAAATTCCTGTTTTATTAAAAATGCACTTTGGTGTTTTTTTTGTTGTTGTTTTTTGCTTTTTTTTTTTGAGTTCTCTATTAATATTCATGATACACCTAGGGTGGGATATTTAAAGAAGCACTTCAAGTGATCTTTTCTCTGATACCAGTAGGTGATACCCTTTAGGATAAGATGACAATTCTAAATCCTTTGCCTTCAAGGACAGTTAAGTATTTGCCATGACCTATGAGACAACCTGAGATTTTAGTGTCCCAGAGTGTTAGAACAGCACTAGTCTGAATCCCAGCTATAACTTGGTCGAACTTTCTGGATGGCATGGTGATTTCTTCACCTTTGCACATAGTTGGCAGGGAGAGGACTCATTTGATAAATCCCCTTTCTCAAAGTCTCCTTAAAAGTCACCTTCCTGCTGCCTACTACAATGCAAAAATACTCCATATATTTCCATTTAAATTGCTTTGCTCCACACTGTGTTAATCCTGTCCTTGCTGTAACCGTGGAGGTGGGTGACAATATTTGTGAACATTATTATTTGGACCCATGTTAGCCTATCTCTAAGAACACAGACGATGAGCTATCACTCAACAAGCCATTACATTGTTGATGGAGACTATTTTGTGAATTAAATGAATGGGACTCTAAAATTAAGCCAATTCTTTGCGACTTTAAATCATTAACAAATAGTCAATTAAGCCTGATGTAGTAACTGTTCTTTGTAGGAACTTTGTTGTGGCTTACAAAGGCTTTGAATTTTGTTTTGCTGCTTGTAGTAATTTTGTTTTCTTTTTCTTTCAGGATATATGAGAAATGTTTTCTTACATCTGACCTTTGTCAACTGACCTTGAAAACTGCCATGAAATGCTTTTTTTTTAGAATGTGGTTTTATTCACCTTCAGTGCTTTTACCTTGACTTCAACTGCCCACCCACACGCTGAGCAGCCGGAATGACAGGTTTCTCTCTGTCATTGTTTATGTGTGTTTTCAGGAACTGATTATTGAACTCATATTTAATAGCTACTGTCAGTGAAATGTTACAGTGTTTTTCTAATTGGTTTTGCCTCTTATTGGAAGTATAATTACAGCAATGTTAATAAGAGAGAAAATGAGAGGATCATTTAATGCTTTCAGGTTACTGGGAGCTATGGGTGGGTGCTGTATGCTTGTCTCTCTAAGCAGCTAATTGTCAGATCAGGTTTGGGGAAGCTTTGGCATCTTTTTGGATTTTAATCCCTACATTCTTAATTCACTGTATAAATATGAGTAAAAGACAAAAATAAATGTTTTAATCTATTTTCAACAAATTTATAAATAAATTTTAAACTACCTTTGCATACATGGTTTGGTTTGCTTTTATTTTTAATGAAAAGCTCTCGAGGGGTCTCATTTTTATATTCTCCTTTATAATCCATATAGATAAAATATAATACTGTAATACTATGAGATTGGCTCTGGTCTTGAGCTATTTACTAATAACTATTCCTCTGGGTTTTTCAGAGTGGGACAGTTAATTTACTAAAAGGACAATGCTTTCCTAAAAAGCAACTAGACAAAAATGTTGACACCACATTGTATGGTGTTTTAGACACTTCTTGTCTTTGCTGTTTGCAACCTATTTTGTTTTTTAAAAAATATATTTTATTGATTTTTTTTTTAAGAGAGGAAGGGAGAGGGATAGAGTTAGAAACATCAATGAGAGAGAAACATTGATCAGCTGCCTCCTGCACACCCCCACTGGGGATGTGCCCGCAACTAAGGTACGTGCCCCTGACCGGAATCAAACCTGGGACCCTTGAGTCTGCAGGCCGAAGCTCTATCCACTGAGCTAAACCGGTTTCGGCAGGCTTTTTTTTTTATTTTTTTTAAGTCTTTATTGTTGAAAGTATTTCATATGTCCCCATTTCCTCCATTAACCCCTTCTAGTCTACCTGCCCCTGGCCTTCACTACCCTATCTTCTGTGTTCATGGATTATGTGTATTAGCATACAAGTACTTTGGTTGATCACCTCCCACTCACTCACCCACCCTCCCCTGCCTTCCCTATGAGATTCCACAGACTGTTTCCTGCTTCTGTGTCTCTGAATCTATTTTGTTCATCAGTTTATTTTGTTCATTAGATTTCACATATGAGTGAGATTGTGTGATACTTGTCTTTCTCTGGCTCTCAGTCAGCTTTTTATCCTAATTTACAACCTTGAACCAGTTTGTAGACCCCTAAAGTACAAAAACCCAAGCATATTAGTTTTATATGCTTTATATTCCAGCCCCCCTCCATATTATATAGAGAAAATAGTGCCTTAAGTCTTACAATGAAGATTAGATAAATGAATAATTTTTTGTAGCTGGATAACTAATAATACTTTGCTATATTAAGAGATCTTTTGTGGTTCCAATTGCTCTGTTGAAATTAACTTTCCATATCTCTGTATTCAGGGAAACATTGGGACTTCAGACTCTTGGGCCAAGGCTAGGGGATGGGGAGCTCACAAAAACAGGGCAAGTTATAGAAAGGACCACATTTGGTGGGAGTGGTGGTGGCTGAGGACAGATGGTTCACAGCTAGTTTCTCTGGAGTAAATACTGCAGATATCCTTGATTTCCCTCTCTTCTGCCAGCTGAAGCCACGTTAGTGCTGTTGACATCAATATCAAATGTTTGGTCCACTTGAAATCCTTGCCAATTCCTGATCCTGGGTTGGAAGCGTCTCCTAACTGTTTATAAATGTGCGACTGTTGTGGGCATTTACTGTTGTGGCGTGTGGCCATTCCAGTCCTGCGCCTGCCAATCTGGCTGCCTCACAATCCACTGTGGTGTTCAGGTGTTTGTGCCTGGGCTCAGCATTCCTTACTTGCTGCTGTTTCCCTATGTGTCACCAGGAACTGATTATGTAAGGGAAAGGATGCTTTCTTACTTTGGGGGCTCTTGGAAAAGTTGGAGTCAATTTCTCTTCCACCACCTGCTGTATCCTGCATTCCCTAACAAAGATATTTTGTTCTGATATTCTTTTTCATTTTTAATACCAGTTACATTGTGCTTGTATGGAGAATTATGACTTCATGGCTAAAATTATCTAGGATGTGAATGGGGTTGTAAACATCTTCCTTGAACAATTCTCTGTATATGTGAAAGTAACCAGAAAATAATCAAGAATTTTTTTGTGTGTAAGGGAGTGGACCATTTTGTTTTTCACATTTAATCTGCCCTGTTGAATCACTTAAAATAAATTTTGACTTGAGGGTAACTCTAGATAGAAATCCCAAATTCCAATCACTATCTATCTATCTCTATGCTTTTAAAGTTCTTTCTTTTTTTGAAAAAGAAAATATAACCAAGACAGATTGTTACAAAAGTAATAGGTGTTTGTTATAGAAACTTAGACACAATAATAAATAATTAAAAAAAACTAGTTTGTTTTTTCTCTCTCAGGTTTTATCTGCAGATAATCAGCGTTAATATTTTGCTATTCATTCTTCTAGATATTTTTCTATCTCTATGTGTGTCAAAATCCCTGCAATAAAAATCATTATAGATACTTTCTACTTATCAGATGAGGACAAAGATCTAGAATTAGAACTTGTAGTTCTAATTGAAAATCTATTTAGAAGGATTTTGATATATGTAGTCAAATTACTTCCCAAAAGGTGGCACCAATATCTATTACCACCATAAGTATGCCCTATACTCTCCCCAATACTATTAGTGGCTTTTAAATCTTTGCTTATATTCTGAGTGAAAAATGTCATTTGTAGAGTTTAGAACATACATAACCATAGAGATAGTGACTATAACCTTAATCTTATTAAAAAGATGGGTCATGATTAGTGTGTTTGGAAGTGTGGCTGCCAGAGGAAGTAGCAGAGAGTGTGTTAGGACCGGTAATAGGGATAAAAAAAAAATAGTAAAGCTGTGTGGTTATTTATTTTTTTAACTTAGTGAACTGGAGCATATAGTGGCTAGCTCTTTGCTGATGTGCATGAAATAAGATTAAAGTAATCTATAATACCTGTATATGATGAAAAAGTATGCCTTTCAGTTACTGTAGGATTACAGAGAAAGTCTGTTCGGCATTTCTTTCAGGAAGAGGCTTTCTGTTGAAACTCTTTTCATTTTAAATATTTCATTGTTTAACAATGGAGTTTAAAAAGGATCATAAAAGGAGAATTTATTTTCTCACATAATTTTTATGCCCAAAGTAAGGGTTTTCAAAGGCATAGCAAGGCAAATGGAGGAACATTTTGTTACATTTATTGCCATGCCATTGTGCCACCTGCTGGGGCAGAGGACACCGGAGACCTGAGCTGCTACAGTTAAATCCCATAGGAGGTGGATGATTACAAGCTCCTAGCTATGCTGCTCAGAGCTGGATGCAAGTGCCTACTGCCTCCCTCCTCTATCCTCCCATGCAGAGCACTGCCTATAGCTGTGCTGTATGATTTGTTCGGTCACCAGAGGGCAGACATTTTATTCTACACAAAACGTTGTATGAGTGATCAACATTGGATTACGAACTGATTAGACATTTCAATTTGTATATTTAGTGCCAAAGTGGAGCAGAAAGTGTGCTTGAGAAATGAGAAGAACAGATAAGAGAGAAATATTTGAAACCAGACATGAACAAGGAAAAATCAGAAATAAAAATTTAAAAAATAATATTTTTATTCACTGTTTTGCATTACACCATGGAGGAACAAAGATAAGTGGCACAGTTCCTGTCCTCAGGGAACAGAGTGGTCAGGTTCTGTGACTGCAATGAACAATCCCCACATCGTAAAGGATGATAATGTGGATGATATGTTTATGATACATATCACACACAGATCATCCTTATCACTCAAGGACACAGGCCGATGGGTGCTCAGTTTTTCCTTGTGTTTTCCATATGGCAAGGGGAGAAGATAGTGGCAGTGGGTGATTAAATGCTTTCACCTAGGAAATGGCACATGCTATTTTATTGGCCAGGACAAATCACATGACCATCTCTAACTATAAAAGGAATGGAAAATAGAATTCTACAATGTTCCCAAAAAAGAACTGGAATACTTGTAAATAGCCCCAAGCACTATCCCCAAGTATGTACTACTAGGTTAAAGAATCAAGACATAGGCATATAAAAGCTTAAGATTAAAGATACACATATAAATGCAAACATTAGTAGAAGCCCAGTTCAGTTCAAAATTTATTAGGGGATAATATATCCCAGCCATTGTGCTAGGTCTGGAGACTACAAAGATGCAAAAATCAGCCATGAAAGAATTCTATTTTAAATTAGGGACCTGCACAGAGATAACCTAGGAAAAATATGACAAAGGAACTGTGCAAAGCAATGAAGTAAGACAAAGACTGATCATGCCATATCAAGTAGCTGGGACCTTGGAAGAGTTTGAGCAGAGAGTGGACATGATTAGATTTTTGTTTTAAATAAATCTTGAGTGATTCATGAAAGATGGATCTAAGGAAGACAGAGCCAGAGAGAGCAGCTAGTTAAAGGTGATCACATCAGTCCTAGTGACCCAAGGTGAGAGTTCTAAGCTAGAGAGTTGAGTAGAGATGGGAGAACACAATGAACATGTGGAGTTCCAAGGATATAACAAAGCAGGACTTTTATAAGTGACTGAATGTAGATGGAGAGTGACATGGCAGATATGAGTTTCCTATTTCTAGCCTGATTAAGTGTATTGATGGTAATGTGACCACAAAGACAAAGTCTGTGGTATTTCAAAGAAAGGGGAGCCCTGGGTAGTCAATAAAGAGTTTCAAAGACTATTGATATAAACTCAGTGAGTTTAGGGACTTCATCTTGTTCAATG